ATTTGCATCATCACGGTCAACTCTACTTTGAAGAGGCAGCTCTTCCCCAGTCACATTTTGAGTGACTTCCAACCTGAGGGTTTCATTTTCTGGCACTATATCTAACAGTGTTTCTCTGTTATTCATAAGGTTTTCAGTGATTAAATATTCAGAAGTAGTTTGTCACTCCTTCTTCCTAGTCTGTATTCATCTGGAAGCTCATCTGAAACCTGTCCACCATGGGTGACCCTGCTGGTATTTAAAATACTGGTGGCATAGCTTTCAGTATCACAGAAACTCACAAGCCACCACAGTACGTCAAACTGACAGACAGGTGGTGGAAAATGTATATAAGAACCACTTATTTGTGGCAGATGGACTGCTCATCCAGGAGAAGGGAAACAATTTTTTTCTACAACTACCCAATTAAATTTTATGAAATATTTAAGATATCTCACTTGACTTATTTAAGTTCCTTTTTAAAAGTTTTCATTCTCTAAATTTGTAACATAGAGAAACTTAACTAGACTTTGTTTAAAGCATTATAATTTCATCTGAAGTGGACATCTCTCTTTTGAACAATTCATGAGGCATCACTCTTCTAAAGAGAAGCAGTCTTATTTTCTAATTGGAAAAATAAGGAGTATGCCATCTCTATTTGACCTAAAGCAATTGTCTTTATTGTAGTAAACTATTCTGTCTAATAAAAGGATGGATATTACCTTTAAAGACATATTGAAAAGATGTGCTTTTGCATTAGGATGACTGATGTAAATCAACTAGGAAAAAACAAAACGAAAACCTCCAAACTATTCCATATAGAAAATTTCACTTGATTATGAGTTCCTGAAAGGCTTTATGTCACCCACAGAATTTATCTTTCAATAAATATTTTTATAAGGCAGGAGCCTACTTTAATACTATCATTAAATATAAACAGGGCATATAATATAAATATAAATATAAAATATAAAAATCTCTGTCTTTTGTAGATGAAGTCATCACCTTTAGTACCCAATATTACTTATTCATGACCAATATGTAATCTCTGCTTAGGCAAGATTAACCCTTTAATGTCATCTATCCACATAGTGTTACTTATGCTGTTCCCCATAGATAAAATTCATTATTTTCCTTTGTCCATTTATCCATGGACAAAGGAATCTACCATCTACCAGGTTGTTGAAGAGTCCTCTATTTTTAAGTAAAAAGAAACCATTAAACCCATTGTCGCTGAGTTGGTTCTTACTCATGGAGACTGCAAAGTACAGAATAGAACTGACCACAGGGTTTCTAAGGGATCAATTTTTATGGAAACAGACAGCAGCATCTTTGCCCTACAGAGAAGCTGATAGGTTCCAACCTCTGACCTCTCGGACCAGTGTGTCACTAGGGCTCCTCTAATTTTATGTATTTCCAACTTTATGTATTTGTTTGATCTTATTCCACAGCAAAATACTGGTGGTGGTGGTTTTGTGCCATGGAGTTGGTTCCGATTCATAGTGACCCTGTATAGGGTCTCCAAGGTTGTAAATCTTTATAGGAACAGAAAGCCTCATCTTTCTCCTGCAGAACAGCAGGTAGTTTTGAACAAGCTGACCATGAGATTAGCAGCTCAACTTGTAGCCACTATGCTACCATAGCTCCTTACAGCAAAATACTAGTATATAGATATTTCTTAATGAATAGCAACTTAATTATATATATATATATTGTTACTTGAAAACATGAATGTGAAAATATGTGGCAGACACCATTCCTCCCATAGCATGCTCTATTTTTCCCTTGGGTTCAATAATTCATTGCATTGGCCACACAGAACTCAGATGTTCATGGCTACAGGTTTTATTTAGGAAATATGGGGTCAGAAATGCTCAGGGCACAGTTGTTCCACTCAGTTGCTGATAAAAGTCCACAGAACACACCACTCCACCATAAACCTCAGCCTGAAGGCTCTTAGCTCTAGCTTCCTTCCCTTGTAAGTGCCTGGAGGGTACGCACCCTACCCTACAATCAAGCTTCCTGTTCAAAGTCATTCAGCCTGATTTGCTCTATGGGCTGGGAAGTCCACTGCTCTGTCTGGTGTCCTAGTTTTTGGTTCTGCTGCTGCTCCTCATCTGCCACTTCTCCACTTCACAACTTGCTGTCCCTGGGTGGAAGAGGTAAAATGTGCAGTGATTTCAGGGTCCAAAGGACGTGTGCCACTCCTGGCTCTTCTTTTTTGATAGTAATGAGATCCACCCCTTCTGCTTCTGATATGGTTCATTGCATACCAATACTAAATTTCCATGTTTTTACAATTACAATCAAATTTGCTAACATCCACAGCTGAATCACGTATGTCATCCTATCAGTATTTTTCTCCCACCGTCTCTTACAAAGACCTAGCAGGGCAGAAACGTTGTTTGGTGGAAGTTATAGATTATGGCTATACGAGACATTAGATAATTCACTACACAACAGTAGAATTAACTTTCTTCTTTATTTGTTCTTTTAAAGAAACGATCAGGGTTTTTTTTGGAAAATAATCCTACATACCAACTTTGGAAGGCTGGCGATTACACAGTAGTATATTTTCCAGAGGAAGATATAACTATTCTTTGGGATAAGAAGACAACTATTCATATCAAAGTTGGACCACAGTGGAAGGTAGGTCTAAATGAGATTCAACTGAAATTCCATTTTATCTTTTACATTGATATACTTAGCAACAACAATAAAAATATGTTTAAAAAAACTGATATTCGGATTCATGGATATGTTGTTGTTTTTGTTGTTTTTAAGTGCTGTCTAGTTGGTTCAATTCAGAGCAATCATGTATAGGGTTTCCAAAGAGCAACTGGTGGGTTTGAACCACTGAACTTTTGGTTAGCAGTCTAGTGCTTATCCTACAGCCCAATAAATAAAATTACATTTTGCCTTTTGTGTTGAGATACTTGAAAGTATACACAAAAGTCAGTTTTTGTGAAATTTATACTGAGACTAATGGATATAATTTGTCGCTAATTAGAGAAAAAGGTTCATTGTTGTTGTTGATGTTAGATGCGTTAGTTCTGACTCATAGCAAACTTATGCACAACAGAACAGTGGCTGGTCCTGCGCCATCCTCGTGACGGTTGTTATGCTTGAGCCCACTGCTGCTGCCATTGTGTCAGTCCATCTCCTTGGGGGTATTCTTCTTTATGTTGACCCTACGCTTTACTGAGCATTATATCCTTCTCCAGGGACTGGTCCCTCTGATAACATGTTCAGAACAGAAGATAAGAATTCTTGCCATCCTAGCTTCTAAGGAGCATTCGGAATGCATTTCTTTCAACGTAGATTTGTTTGTTCTTTTAGCAGTCCATGGCACTTTTAATATTCTTCTCTAACACCATAATTGAAGAATACATTGATTCTTGTACCATCTTTCTTATTTATTGTTCAACTTTTACAGGCATATGAGGCTATTGAAAATACCATGGCTTGGGCCAGGCATACCTTAGTCCTCAAAGTGATCGATTTGCTCTTGAACATTTTAAAGAGGTCTTGTGCAGCAGATTTGCCTATTGCTGCTTCCATGAGTGTTGCTTGTGAACCTAAGCAAAATGAAGTCTTTGACAACTTCAATCTTTTTCTCCTTTTATTGTGATGTTGTTTATTGGTCAAGTTGTGAAGACTTTTGTTTTCTTTATACTGGGGGCGTGTAATCCATACTGAAGGCTGTTGTCTTTGATCTTTATCAGTACGTATTTTAAGTCTTCTTTGTTTTCAGCAATCAAGGTTGTGTTATCTGCATATTGTTGGTTGTTAATGAGTCTTCCTCCAATCCTGATGCCATGTTCTTCTTCATATAATCCATTTTCTCAGGTTATTTGCTCAGCATAAAGATTGAATAAGCATGGTGAAAGAATACAGCCCTGGTGCACAACTTCCCTGATTTTAAACCCTTAAGTATCTCTTTCAAATGACAGTCTCTTGGTCTATGCACAGGTTTCTTAAGAATAGAATTAAATGTTTCCAGTACCCGTTCTTCACAGTGTTACCCATAGTTTGCTATGAGCCACACAGTTGAAAGCATTTGTACATTCAATAAAGTATAAATAAGCATCTTCCTATTGTTCTCTGCTATCATCTAATAGCCATCTGATGTCAGCAATCATATCCCTAGTTTCACATCCTCTCCTAAATCTGACTTGAATTTTAGCAGTTTCCTGTTGCTCTATTGCTGCAACTGATTTTGAATTATCTTCAGCAAAAATTTACTAGGATATTATAATAGAATGATATTGTTTGATGATATCCACATTCCATGAAGTCACCTGTCTTTGTAATGAGCACAGATATGGATCTCTCCAATCAGTTGGCCAGGTAGCTGTCCTCCAAATTTCTCGAGTGCTTCTAGGGCTGCATCAGTTTGTGGAAATGTTTCCATTTGGATTCTGCCAATTCCTGGAGCCTTTGTTTTCACTTATGACCTCAGTGCACCTTGGACTTTCTCCTTTGTTATCACTGGTGCTTGACCATATGCTAACTCTTGAAATGGATGAACATCAAATATTTCTTTTTGGTACAGTGACTCTATATTCCTTTCTTCTTTTGATGCTTTCTGCATCATTCAATATTTTGCCAATGTGGTTGTTGTTAAGTGCTGTCGAGTTAGTTCTGATCCAAAGCAACCCTGTATTGGGTTTACAGAGCGGCTGGTGAGCTTTAACCGCTGACATTGAAGTTCAAACCAACCTTGCAGTCCAGCGAATTAATCCACAGCATCACACCAGGACTGCCAATACAATCCTTCAATATTACAAGTTCGAAACTACCAGCTATTCCGTGGGAGAAAGATGGGGCTTTCTGTTCCCGTAAAGATTTACAGCCTCAGAAACCCTGTACAGGGTCACTAAGAGTCGGAACCAACTCCATGGCACAAAACCACCACCACCACCACACCAGGACTGCCAATGGAATCCTTCAATATTTCAAGATGAGACTTGATTTTTTTCTTCAGTTCTTTTAGCTTGAGAAATGCTGAACATGTTCTTTTTTTGGGACTTTGGAGTTCTAGGTCTTTGTACATTTAAGTATAATATTTTGTCTTCTAGAGCTGCCCTTTGACATTTTCTTTTCAGATCTTTCATTTCTTCCATTTGCTTTAACTTTTCTACCCTCAAGAACAAATTTCCTGTTCTCTCTAGACATCATTTTGGTCTTTTTTTTTTTTGTCTTTTTTTTAATGACCTTTTGCTTTTCCCTGCATGATATTCTTGATGTGGCTTCACAACTTTTTAGTCTGCAGCCAGTAGTGTATAATGTATCAATCTGTTCTTGGGATGGCCTCTAAATTCAGGTGTGATATATTCAGGGTTGTATTTTTGCTTTCATGGAGTTGCTTTAATTTTCCTCAACTTCAGCCTGAACTTGCTTATGAACAATTGATGATTTGTTCCACAGTCTGCCCCGACCTTATTTTGTCTGATGATATTGATAATTTCCACCATTTCTTCGCACAGATGTAGTCAATTGGATACCTGTTTATTCCATGTGATGAGGTCCATTTGTATAGGTGACTTTTATGGTGCTTAGAAAATTTATTTTCAATGAATAACTTGTTGCCATTATAAAATTCTACCATAAGATCTCCAGCATCATTTCTATAACAAAGGACATATTTTCCAGCTAGTGATCTTTCCTCTTTGTTTGAAACTTTCACATTGTTATCACCAGTACTTATCAATACATGTTGATTACATGTTTGATCATTTTCTGACTGAACAAGTTGGTTGAATATTTTCAATTTCCTTATCACTCATTTGATTGGTTGGTGCATAAATTTAAATGATTATGTCATTAACTGGTCTTCCTCACAGGCATATGGATATTATTCTATCACATACAGTATTGTACTTCAAGATAGATCTTAACATGTTCTATTGGATGATGAATGCATGTCATTCCTTTTTGATTTGATGTTCTTGCCATAGTAAACCATATGTTTGTCAGATTCAAATTGGCCAATAGCAGTCCATCTCTGCTCAGGATACTGATCTTTTATGAGTTCCATTTAATTTTTGACAACTTCCAATGTGCCTATATTCATTCTTTATACAAATCATGTTCCAATTATTAATGGATGCTTGCAGCTGCTTCTTTTCATTTGAGTTGTGTCTTATCAGCAAATGAAGGTCCTGAAAGCTTTACTCCATTCATCTCATTATGGTCAGCTCTACTTTGAGGAGGCATCCTTGCCCAATCGTATTTTGGATGCTTTCCAAACTAAGGGGCTCATTTTCTGGCACTATATCTGGCAATATGTTATTCATAAGGTTTTCGGTATTTAATCATTCAGAGGTAGTCCACCCCTCCTTTTCCTAATATATCTTAATCTGGAAGTGCCACTGAAACTTGTCCAACCTGGGTGACCCTGCTGGTATTTAAAGTGCTAATGGCATTGTTTCCTGTATCACAGCAACATGCAGGCCACCACAGTACAACAAATGTCGAGTGATGGATAATCCATGTGCTACAAGTCCTCAGAAACCCTATACAGGATCACTATGAGTCAGAACTGACTTGATGGCACTTATAAACAACAACAACAATTAGAGAAAAAAGTGTTATAGTGATGTATTTTCATACTCCTGGTGTAGTACTGTAGGATCAGTACTGGACTATGAACCACAAGGTCGGCAATTCAAACCTATTACCTGCTCCTTGGAAACCCTATACAGAATCACTGAGTCGGAACTGACTCCACAGCATCTAGCAACAACAATAATGTGGACAAGTTATATTTTAATTAAAAATATATCTTAGGATTACTGTATGCTTTGATGAAAACATATGCAAGTGGTTAAGCACTGGACTACTACCTGAAAGGTTGGCAATTTGAACCTACCTAGAGGCACCTAAAAGACAGACCTGGCAAAGTGCTTCTGAAAGATCAGAGCCTTGAACTCCCTTTGGAGTAGTTCTACTCTGCACACATGGGATGGCCATTAATTGGAGTTGACTTGATAGTAACTAACAACAACATGTTTAAGATTATTTGTATATGGTAGTATCTGTCATTACCTTAAGAAGAATAAAACCACAATTTTTTTTTTCTTGGTATTTGCAGGGACCTGGTATTCCTTTAAAATTGCTAAAAGAACTGGTATACGTCTTCAATTAGTGTTTGCTGTAATTCTCCATGTATCATTCTTTCCTTGCTTTTTGGAAATAAGTTGACTATTCTTTCTTGTATATTCCCTTTTGTTTGGCCTTAGCTTTTGGGTGCGCACTGGCGGAAGTCAGATAGTTGTGGCAGAGACTCTAGGTAATCAGTGGCCATGGTAATTGTAATCCTAGGGTTGCTGTCTATTTTGATGAAGACAAATGTAACCTACTGCACCATTTATCATGGGAGAAAGAGGTGATGGTCTGTTTCCATCATGATTCTAGCCTAGGGAAGCAGTTTTACTCTATCCTATAGGGTTACTTTGAGACAGTAATGGGAAACATCCTTAATGATGGGCTGCAGACCATTCTTCAACACAGGAAGGGAGAGTTCAGTATGTTTAAATTCAAGGTAGTATGGAAGAGCGCTATTGTCTTCGGAAAATTGCCCATCTTTTCACTCTTTCTTGGTCTTATTTGGAGAAAATCCATTGGGTATTATGAAAGTCAATGTGGCAATTGTAATAATAATTTTATAACTTATAAAAACTTATAAGAATAGGTAAAATCAAAATTTGAACTAGAATTTCAATTTCATTAATTTTGTTCCATGGTGAAGGCAAAAGCAGAATTTAGACTAGAATTTTATTTTCATTTATTGGGTCCCATGGTAACATGATTCATGACTATTAAAGGTAGCTTTTTCTTTAAAAGTTATGCTTTGATTATTTTGGCATTTCAAAGTACAATCTGTAGAGATATTTTAACATCTATAATATAACAAAGGAGTGTAGATTTTCTGTGGGATAAGTACTGTACTTTGATCTGTAAAATCAGTGGTTCAAAACCACCAACTATACAGCAGGAGAAAGATGACACTTTCTTCTCCCGCACAGAGTTGCAGTTTTGGAAACCCTACATAGGGTCACTATGAATCAGAACTGACTCAACAGTACTTGACAACAACATAGCATCACCACACCTTAAACACATCAGGAAGCTGGCCTATCATCAGTATAAAAATGCTATATATACATGCACACACATGTATATAGATTATATGTATACATATACATACTTGTTCATATATCGTAGGGTTTATATTATACTTTTCCAAGTGACTTGTGGTGCAAATTGTAGCAATGCTAAGATGTTTCTAAGTGTGGATACGTAAAATTTGGGGGATAGTAAAATGTTTTTGGAAGTAACTGATACATATAATTTAACAGATAGGTTGTTGTTACTAGGTGCTATCAAGTTGGTTCTGATTAATGATGACCCTGTGTACAACAGAACAAGATGCTACCTGGTCCACAGCATCCTCATAACCACTGCTATGCTTCCGTTGCTGCCACTGTCTCATTCATTCTCACTGGAGGGGGGGGTCTTCCTTCCCACCACCCCCCAGGCCTTTATTTTATACCAAGCAAATAGCTATAAAACACCACTGTCTCCAAACTTTTTTTTAATGGTCACTGTGGAAATTCTTAGAAAGTATATTTTATTTTTTTTCAAAGTTTTTGTGATTAGAATTCTTTAAATATTAAAATAAATATAAATTTTACATAGTAATTTTCTTTTACTTTAGAACAAACTAGCAGGATTGTGTGGAAACTTTGACAAATGTACTTCAAACGACATGACCACGTCTAATAACATAGAAGTGAGAAACGCCCAGGTATTTGGAGATAGCTGGGCTTTAGGACAAGTAAGTATATATATTTTAGAAGTAAACAAATATTATTTAACATGGTCCTCAATAGCTCAATAGAGCATTTTATTCTTATCGGACGATTTATGTCGGTAAGATTATTTTAAGTAATATTTGTATAATAAAATGATAACATTAATTTCACATTTATCTTCTCAAGTCATTCTTATGACAATAATGATTGTTATTTCCAGATTATAGGTGAAGAAATTGATCCTTGGGGAGATTAAGTGATTTATAATCTGTATCGCATAGTCAGGAAATAGCCGAGGTGAAAATCAAACTCACATTATCTTCAAATCTCATGCTTTCTCCAGCATGGCAAAATATTTTATCAGTGTATCTGTATTTCTAAGGATGATGTAACATTTGCCCTATCATAGCAATAAATAAATGTAGACAGGATTTCCTAGTTTGTTCTTCATAATGCTGCTATTTCATACTCTATTATTAGCATTTCGTGAAAATAAAGGTGTGTATATGTGTTGGGGAGAGAATCTATGGCAAACAACTTTGGGGAGAGGTTTTAATTAAGTTCGATTTATTTTCTGAGGGTTTCTTGAGGGATTATTAACCTCCAAGAGAGGGCTGTCTGAGGAATTTCACAAACTGCTATCACAGAACCTATGTTTTCATTTATTAGTTCCCAAGTAAGTGCTGCTCTCTGAAACACTTTTTGAGAAATGATAAACTATCTCAGAAGCAGAGCTAAATTGAAAATTGACTCTATTCTTTTCTTCTGCTTTTTTTCATTTAACTTAAATGAGTGTCTGCAGCTAGTTTCCTGATTGGCTACTATGACAGCCAGGGTTCTCCTGAGGAACAGCACCAATCGGAGATTGTGTGTGTGTGTGTGTGTGTGTTTATAAGAAGGCTTGTTGAATTATTTTAAGGAATTAGCTCACATTATAGTGGACCTGGCAAGTCTAACCTGAGGTGGTGGTTGTTGTTGTTAAGTACGATCAAGTTGGTTCTAACTTATAGCAACCACAGGCTGAAAACTCAGTAGAAGTTGAGAAGGCAGTATTGAGGCAGACTTTATTTTTCTTTTCAGTTTTTGTTCTTAAGGCCTTCCAACTGATTGGAGTAAGTCCACCTACCTTGCTGAGGGTAATCTTTTCTTGAAGTAAATTGACTATAGATGTTAACCATATCTACAACAAACTTACACTGAAACACCTAGGTTACTGTTTAATTGAATAATCAAACTAGCCAAATTGACACACAAAACTCATTAATACAGTTCCCATTTGATTAGTTGCTCTACTATTTTGCATAATTTGCCTAATATATCTAAGTCTCCTAAAAAAAATAAAGAAGAGATGGGGTAAAACAAATCAATAAAATGTGAACAGTGATTTTCAATGTTGTATAAAAGTAAAACTATAAAGAATTTTTCCAGTCCTGGTGTGGCGCTGTGGGTTAATGCGCTGGACTGCAAAGTCATTTGAATCTCAAGGTTAGTGGTTCAAACTCACCAGTCACTCCTTGGAAACCCCATATAGGGTCGCTATGGGTCGGAATCGACTCAACGGCATTCAACAACAACAATATATAAATATCCATGAAAGGACTTCAAAATGTAAAAAATGGATTTAAAAGGTATTTTTTCTATGAATTCTCGAAGCCCCCCTTCTATTATATTTAGAAAGAAAAATTCCTTAATTAAGATTTTCATATGTCTTATTGTCTTAAGAAGTTTCATTTTACATTTATCCTACTCATAAATGAATTAATGAAGAACTAATTTCATATAATACTCAACTAATTAATATAAAATCATTTTAAACTCCCCAAATTGAGATGGAGAAAGTTTTATTTACTTCTTAATGTTTTCCTAGATATATGAATGCAAAATATAAATAAAACACAGCAGCATCTGTCCTTAAGGATTTTAAGGTCCAGATTAGTAGGTGAGATAGGAAATTAATAGAGATAATATAGTGAGATAAATATTCTGATAGAAGTGTAACAGAAGTGTAATCTGATGAAATGGAGGTTGTGATAACAGTAAAAACAAAGTTCCTAGAGAAGGTAGCTCTAAACTGGATCCTATAAAATTTATAGGAATGAGAGTAAAGCATCCAGCTGATATGAAGTAAAGGGAGACACACAAGAACTCCCTAACTTGCAAATAGTACCCATTTGACCTAGCCTTGATGGCTTGATGATCAGAACTTACTAGAGGATGATAAAAAACCAAAAAAAACATCCAACATTTTTGATAAAGGAAACAAGTATAAATTGCTACAATTTGATGAACTTTCCCTAAACTCATGGAGGTAGTAGCTCTAAATACCAACAGAGAGGGAAGGAGTCTTCACATCAAGTATCAATGTTATATCCCCTCTGTACTCAGAATAGATAGGGATGAGCAACTTTGACATAGGATGATACAACCTTGCTTGCTGAAAGTGAAGAGGACTTACAATATTTACTGATGAAGACCAAAGACCACAGCCTTCAGTATGGATTGCATCTCAATGTAAAGAAAACAAAAATCCTCACCACTCGACCAATAAACAACATTCTTATCAATGGAGAAAAGATTGAAGTTGTCAAGGACTTCATTCTTCTTGGATCAACCATCAATACTCATGGAAGTAGCAGTCAAGAAATCAAATGACATATTGCATTATGTATATCTGCTGCACAAGACCTTTTTAAAGTGTTGAAAAGCAAAGATGTCAGTTTGAGGACTAAGGTGCGCCTGACCCAAGCCATGGTATTTTCAATAACCTCATATGCATGTGAAAGTTGGACAGTAAATAAGGAAGACCATAGAAGAATTGATGCTTTTGAGTTATGGTTTTGGAGGAGAATATTGAAAGTGCCATGGGCTGCCCATAGAACCAACAGATCTGTGTTGGAAGAAGTGCAGTCAGAGTGCTCCTTGGAGGCCAAGATGACCAAACTTCGTCTCTTATACTTTGGACATATTGTCAGGAGGGACCAGTCTCTAGAGAAGGATATCATGTTTGGTAAGGTGGAGGGTCCAAGAAGAAGAGGAAGACCTCCAGCAAGATAGATTGGCAAAGTGGCAGCATCAATGGGCTGCCATGGCAAAAGTAGTGAGGTTGGCCCAGGATCAGGCAGTTTTCATTCTGCTGTGCATAAGGTTGCTATGAGTCGGCACCAACTCGATGGCACCTAACAACAGCAACAACCTAAAATGAGGGTGCAATAAAGATGCGAAGTGACTGGCTTACAAGGTTTCAAGAGGGAATTTTCTTTAAGGGTGTGTAAGGGAAGGTAGAGTTCTCATTGACTAGTTTTCATCTTGTCTAGATGGGTCTGGTTAAAATAGATGGGGATAAGATTCTTATGATTCAAAGTGAGTAATTGTTACTAATTGTGAGTGTTACAATTGTAAAGGTAGAAGCTTTGTAAAAAACAAATAAACAGGGGCATAGTTAAATTTACAGTCCAGAAACAGAGGACCCTAGGATCATCAAGGGAGAAGAGCACAAGCGGAATATGGGACCCTATCCAGAGAATCAGAGACACCGGAGATGAAGGCAGAGATGTGGACAGGAACATGGAGGCAGGGAATAGCTGAGGACTCTAGATTCATGGGAACAGAGGGACTGAGAGCTGGCAGCCAGGAGGCAGACTTGCAGAATGTGCCTTTTGGTGGTATAAATTATTGTATATGCCTGAGTGTTAAAAAAAAAAAAAAAAAGCTAAAGTGAATAGAGAGAAATACTGTTAACTGATGGTACGTGTAAGGGATTATAATCATTGTAATGAAACAAGGTGTATGATTTGTAAAATGTAAAAGTGACTACTTGCCCTGTAAACTTTCACTCAATTCACAATAAAAACTTTTAAAAAAAAAAGAAGAAGAAGCCTCAAGGCTCACAGCAAAAAAGATAGGATCTAGACAACTGAAGATTATGAGAAAGATTGTAACGTGAAGGAGAGAGCAGCCATCTAAATGAGTCAGGAAGCTGGAGTGAGTATGGTGACTAAGAAAATTCAAGAAACTCATTATGATTGTGCTGTAAGATATGAAGTTGAAAATGCCTGGGATGCAAAGTATAATAGCTAAAATGCAAGATACAAGGACTGGGTTCTGGATTAAAGATCCAAAGACCAGTTAGCAAGCTCTAGCTACAAACATCGAGTCAGTGAAATTTAGAAAACTATATCAATTTGAGAGGCATTAAAGAATAAAATTGTCAGTGTCTGCTGAAAGTACTGGCAAGGTTGAATATGCAGGATTTCCAGAAGTCTCCCATCTTCCTGGTTCACTGGATAGATGCTGATGCTCTTTCCTAAAGCAGGATAAAAAGGAGAAGAATAGGTGTGTGGGTGGTGGGAAAAAGTAAGGACAAAAATCTTGACTGGAGATACAGATTTGACAGTTATTATTATGAGGATAAGCAAAAAATATTGCTACAGAACCATTTGTGTTGTTCAGTGCCCTCAAGTCGGTTCCGACTCGTCAACCCCATGCACAATGGAATGAAACACTGGCCAATCCTGAGTCATCCTCACAATTGTTATGATGGAGCTCATTGTTGTGGCCAGGGTGTCAGTCCATTTCATAGGGGGTTTTCCTTTTTTTTTTGCTGGCCTTCCATTTTACTAATCATGATGTCCTTCTCCAGGGACTTGTCCCTCCTGATAACAAGTCCTAAGTATGACAGATGAAGTCTCACCATGGTGGCTTCTAAAAAGTATTCTGGCTGCACTTCTTCCAAGACAGATTTGTTTGTTCTTCTGGAAGTCCATGGTGTTTTTAATATTATTCTCCAATAACAAAATTAAAAAACACTGATTATTCTACCATCTTTCTTGTTCATTGTCCAACTTCCACATGCATATAAGTTGACTAAAAATACCATGACTTGGGTTAGGCACACCTTAGTGCTCAAAGTGAAATCTTTGTTCCTGAACACCTTAAAGAGATCATTTACAGCAGATCTGCCTAAATCAATCAATCTATCCTTTGATTTCTTGACTGCTGCCTCCATGACTGTTGATTGTGGATCCAACCAAAATGAAATCTTTGACATATTTGAACTTGTCCCCATTAGTTATGATGTTATTTGTTGGTCCAGTTGTGAGGATTTTCATTTTATTTACATTGAATTGTGATCATATTGAAGGCTATAGTCTTGATTTTCATCAGTATTTTAAGACCTGTTCACTCCAAGCAAGCAAGGTTGTACCATCTGCATATTGCAAGTTGTTAGTTAGTCTTCCTCCAAACCTGATGCCTTCAGTACCATCAGATCTTGCTCATATGCTATCTCTTGAAATGATTGATCATTGACCATTTCTTCTGGGTACAGTGACTCTATATTCCTTCCATCTTCTTTTGATGCTTTCTGCAACATTCAATATTTTGTTCATAGACTTCTTCAATACTGCAAGTTGGAGTTGATGTTTTCATTTCTTTCAGTTTGAGAAAAGCTGAGCATGTTCTTCCCTTCTGGTTCTCTAACTCCAGGTCTTTCCACATTTTATTATACTTGACTTCTTCTTCTAGAGCTACCCTTTGAAATTGTCTATTCCACTCTTTTACTTCCACATTGCTTTTGTTTGCGTTCGCTTCTTTACCCTCAGTAGCAAGTTTCAGTTTCTTCTGATATCTATTTTAGTCTTTTCTTTTTTTCCTGCCTTTTAAAAGACCTTTTGCTTTCTTCACGTATCATGCACTTTATGTCATTTCACACCTCTTCTGGTCTTCGGTCATTAGTATCTAATGCATCAATTTTTTTTGTTGTTGTTGTTAAGGTTTTTATTGTGTACAAGTTTGCAGGGCAGATCATCAGTTTTACATTCAACAAGTCATACACCTTGTTTCATTACAATGATTATAACCCCATCCATGTACCATCAGTTAAAATTGTTTCTCTCTATTTACTTTAACTTTTTTTTTTTTTTTTAAACACTCAGGCATATAAAATAATTTACAACACCAAAGGGCACATTCTGCAAGTCTACCTCCTGGTTGCCATCTTTTAGTCCCTCACTTCCCATGAATCTAGTCTTCAGCTGCTCCCTCTCTCCATGTCCCCAACTCTGCCTCCATCTCTGGTGTCTCTGCTTCTCTGGATAAGTCTCTCATCCCATTTGTGCTCTTCTCCATTGATGGTCCTAGGGTCCTTTGTTTCTGGACTGTAAGATTAACCACTCTCCTGTTTTTGTTACAAAATTTTTACCTTTACAGTTGTGAGAGTCACCATTAGTTATGATCACAATTACTCATTATTGAATCATAAGAATCTTATCCCCATCTATTTTAACCAGACCCATCTAGACAAAATGAAAAGTATTCAGTGGGGACTTTTTCTTTTCCCGCACACTATTAAACTAAGCTCCCCCTTGAAACCTTGTAAGCCAGTCACTTCGTGCCTTTATTGCCCCCTCATTTTAGGTAGCCAGTGTCTAAGTGGCCCGTCCCTATCTACCCTGTGTACAGAGAGGATATAGCATTGATATTTGACATGAAGACTCCTTCCCTCTCTGTTGGTATTTAGAGTTACTACCTCCATGAGTATAGGTCAAGTTCATCAAATTGTAGCAATTTATCCTTGTTTCCTTTATTAAAATTTGTTTTGCTCTTTTTTTTTTTAATCTTTCTCTAGTTTAGTTGTTCTGATTATCAAACCATCAAGGCTAGGTCAAATATCTGATATCTGCAACTTTGGGTGTTCTTGTGTGACCCCTCTCACTTCATATCAGTCAGATGCTTCACTCTCAGCTCTAGACCTCCGTGGCTGTATCCTTGTCCATCGGCTCAGGTATCCCCAGGTCTCACCACATTTTGGACCAACCAGTCCTTCTTTTCTCTCTCATCTCCAGGTCCACGGAAGTCTGTGGAACGTGGTTGAACTCAGCCCATTTCTTCATTGCTGCCTTTCACCTTCTTCCATTCACCAGTAGACCAACATGGGCACCAGCAAGCTTCCATGCCTGCTCATGTGTCCCCTTTGAGTTTCAGTCTTAGAGGGGGGTTTGTCCTGAAGGAAGTTGATTGCTTTCCTTCATGTCATGTTCCATTTATTAATCGATCTTTGCAGCTGTTTCTTCTCATTTTGAGTTGTGTCCCATCAGCAAATGATGGTTGCAGACCATGTATGTCTTTATGGTCAAATCTACTTTGAAAAGACAACTATTCCTCTGTCGTATTTTGAGTGGCTTCCAACCTGAATACTTTAGCACTATATTTTACAATATTCTGCAACTATTTATAATGTTTTCATCTTCCGTCACCATATCTGACAATGTTCTGCTGCTATTCATAAGGTTTTCAGTGGGTAGCCATTCAGAAGTAATCTACCTCTTCTTCTTCCTAGTCTGTCTTAGTCTGGAAGCTTTGTTGAAGCTTGTCCACCATAGATGACCTTGCTGGTGTTTAATTCTCACTTCACAGCAACACACAAGCTACCCAAGTAAGACAAGCTGTCAGAGGAGTGGAAGACAAAATCATAGACACATTTTTTAAACAAAAATAGCAAGGTATTATCACCATTGAAATGTCTCTGGAACAGTGCTAGTATCCTTCCAAAGTATTGGTAAGACAACATACTTAGACCATATAAAAGAAGCTAGAAAGACAAGAAGCTTAGACAGATTATAAAGAAAGAAAGAAAAGGGTGAATTTATTAAGCATAGATGTTCTTACAAGGAGCTCTGGTAGCTTAGTGATAACGAGTCAGATTACTAACCTTAAGGTCAGTAATTCAAAACTACTAACCATTGTGGGAGAAGAAGGAAGCTTTCTGTTCCTGTAAAGATTTATAGCCTTGGAAACCTTTGTCAGGGTTTCTGTGATTCGGAACTGACTCCATGGCACACCACCACAACCACTACCCGGTGTCCTTACAGATAGATAAGAATGGACTTCCCTTGCAACTGAGGAGGACCCTGAATACAATTTGGCTTTCCTTCTGTCAGGCATGAGCTGAACTCCTTCCTGGTTCAAGGTCTAAGTAGCTAATTTGGGGAATTTGTCTAAATATGCTTACTCTGGGTCTTGTTCTTCAGTCTCATGGTTAACTTTTTCCCCTTTACCACAGTTCCTTTTTTTAATTACCTCTGAGGATCTCCTTATTGTTGAGGTTGGTCTAATTTTCCTGCAGATACAAGCTGTGTGCGGTGTGACATGGGACCCTCTTCTTTTCCCTGTCCTAACTACTAAACAATATGGAACTATTATTTTTAAACTTATCATTCATCTAGGTTTATACATTTTCTGAAGTCAGTGTTTCTATCTTTCTAATTTTGTTTTGTTGACTTTAAACTAATTGTATACACTAGTAACATTGAGTTAGCTGGAGCAGATGCACAAGATACAGCCTTTCTAAAAGAATAAGAATGCAAGAGAATTCCTAAAATTTCATGGAATAATTCCATTACCTTTTAATTCCATTTTCCATGAACTTTTTGAAGTTACTCCTATATAAAGTGAAGTCATGATGGATAGAGACAACTAAGTTACTCTGATTTTTGTTTCACAAATCACCTTTTAATTAATTTCATATTTTTATCTCTTAATTTTTTCAACAGTGTGAAAACCCAAGTGAAGCAATCAAACCCTGTGAGGCACAGCAAAACAAATTTCCTTATGCCAAAAAAGAATGTTCCATTTTGTACAGTGATGTTTTTGCTCCATGTCGCAATGTGGTAAATTAATACTTTATTAAACTATCAAATTTAAAGTAATATTTCTTTTATGATATGGAGGTGAACTGGAAAAAATAATTTAGTGATCCATTAGTTTTCAAGCCAAGTATGCTACTTAACCATTTTTGTTGTTGTTGTTATTAAGTGCCGTTGAGTCGATTCTGACCCATAGCGACCCTGTATAGGGTTTCCAAGGAGCAGCTGGTTTGCTTGAACCACCGACCTTGCAGTTCAAATGACTTTGCAGTCTGATGCATTAGCCCATAGCACCACTCTAGGAGGACTTTTTTTTTTTTTTTTTAGTCTTCTTTCCTTAAAAGTGATGCATTAATTGTGCATCACTTTCCATAAAAGTGATGCATAACTCATTCATCCTCACTACATCTCTTTTAACACCATATATTTGCATGTTCAGGAGCCCTAGTAGTATATGGATTATGATAACGAGTTGGACTATTAACCTCAAGGTCAGCAGTTCAAATCTACCAGCTGCTCCATGGTAGAAGGATGAGGCTTTTTGCTTCTGTTAAGATTTACAACATTGGAAACCCTATACAGGATTGCTATGAGTTGGAAACAACTCCATGATACATAACCACCACCACCACCATATGCATATTACATTTATAATATTTTATTTTTCAGTTTCTAAAAGTATGTTTATGGAATCATTGTGTGACACTTTAGGATAAGCACTAGACTGCTGACCACAAGATTGGCTGTTCAAACCCACCAGTCACTCCTCGGGAACCCTATACAGGATCACTATGTGTCAGAATCAACTCAGGGACACTTAGCAACAGCACAAAGTATGTTTATATTTGATCATTTTGTGATTAAGGTATAAATGTACAGTGGTTAGCTGGAAATAATTATGTAGATTTCTGGAGTTGAAGAGCAGAGACTGACTTAGTGGCTATAGAGGAATTGAAACTTGAGTTTGTTGAAACTTCTTGTTGTTAAAGTGTTGTCAAGTCAGTTCCTACTAATAGTGACCCTGTATAGGGTTTCCAAGGAGTAGCTGGTGGACTTGAACCACTGACCTTCAAGTTCAAGCTGACCTTGCAGTGCAGCACATTAACCTGCAGCACCACACCAGTCTTCCTATTGAAACATATGGTAATGTAGTTTGTTAGGTGGCATTATTTGGCTTTGCATTCCTGCATTCTAATTTATGCCAGGCTGCCTCATCCTTACTACTCCCAAACTCATTGCTTAGCTCTTAATTAGTAACTCCTGGGAATAATTAGCTGCTCTGCAAAGTGAGTATTTTATGCAGATGAGTCTCACAGCGAATATGTTTGTCATCAGAGAAGTTGACAAATGGGTAATCTCCTCATCCCAAAGTGTAACTTAAAAGTATTACTGGTAACATATTTCAAATGGTTTTAGAAACACATTCCAAATAGAATATAACTTATTTAGAAATGTAAATTCCTAAATTCCTTCCTAATATACTAATTCTAGTTACCAATAGAAATTTTAAAAAATTAAGGTATTTGTAAAATCAAATACAAGTTGGAAGTAGGATATACACATCTTTTAATGTCATGTTAATAATTCCAATAATGAAGTGATAAAATTTCCAACAAATACTAATCTGCTATATTGCAGATATTGAAATTATATTTATTCATAAATTTTATAACCTGTTTTATCTAGATGTTTAATATTATGTTAGCATTATAAATTTCTCTTTCTGTTGGGCAGTAGAGAGCTGTAAAGATATTGAAAACGCCAAGTGACAGTGTTAAGCTGTCAAATTCTGAACACATACCACTTAATTTTCTTTTTGAAGATTGAGTTTTATCAGTTATGTTGTTTGTTTTGTTATTAAGTACTCCTCAGTCAATTCTGACTCATGGCAACTCTGCACAGGGTTTCTGAAGAGCATCTGGTGGCTTTGAACCTTCGACTTTATGGTTAACAGTCTAGTGTTTATCAGACAGTACCACATTAGCACTCCTAATCAATTATGTTGCTGTTGTTAAAGTGCTGTCAAGTCAGTTCCAACCCTGTATAATTAGTAGTTAATGAAATTAAATCACCTTTCACTTGACTTTTAGATTGATGTTACTTCTTTTGCCAAAAATTGCCATGAAGACACATGTAACTGTAATCTTGGTGGAGATTGTGAATGTTTATGCACAAGCATTGCAGCATATGCATACAAATGTTGTCAGGAAGGGGTATCAATTCACTGGCGATCATCTACTACTTGTTGTGAGTACTAAGAATATTATTGAATGGGAACTTTATAAGGAGATCCATTTAATTGTTGCTTTATCACAGAAGTAATTCCATGAAAGGCATGGAAATGATTTTTATATTCCTTCGACAAAGAGGCAAATGGTATCAAAAAGATTTATAAAAATAAAAGTGTGAGGTATATTTTCTGTTCTGTGTTTAACTGCTATCATTGTAACATTTATAAACTTTCCTTAGAGAAATTGTTTATAACTCTAATACTTTTATGTGTGTGTAGTTTCACTAAGTTCTAGTTACAAGAAAACTATTTACTTAAATTGTTTAAAAATTTATAATCCCAGATTTGCTTGTAGGTTGGAATTTTTAACTTTTTAACTTATTTCTATAGTTTCTAAATCACCTGAATAACACTTAATGATTTAAAAACTTTCAGGTGATATTTCTAAATTGAAAGATATATTTACCTACCTCTAAAATAATCTTATGAAATTTAGTTAATTAAGCCATATCTCTCTTAAGGAATTCCCTAGGATCTGAGAAAGCTACCATGTAATTATGTTTCTCTATGTTCTTTCATTTGGTCATTAGTAAATATATGACCATACAGTCCATAGATTCAGCTTTGTGATCAGTTTCTTAGAGAGATTAATATTTTATTTTTTTCCTCCTTAGCCCTTGATTGTGAGTTTTACAATGAAGGTATGTAACATTTTAATAAAGAACGTACTATAGTATTTTGTTAAGTGTATCTTCATATTAAAGTTTGTTTAAAAAAAAAAAGATATCATGTACTGAGAAAAGTATAAATGAAATTATTAAATTTATTCACATTTGTAATGACTTTGCTAAAATGTATACCTTGAATAATCAAAGGGTGTATAACTGAGTTCCAAGCACTTAGGAAACACTCAACACATAGTTTTGAATCATATGAGTGAATATATGAGAAAAGTTAGTAAATTTTTTAGGTAAAGAGGATGAAATATATTATGAAAGGGCTTCAAAAGTTTGTGGAAAAAAGATAACAGAATTTTTCCACCAGCTTTTTGCAGCCCCCTTGCATACAAGGGGTATACAAGGGGTGACTATTATGGAGAAATAAGGACATTGCTCAAATTTATGCCATATGATCAAGAAACAAATTGTAAATGTGTTAAAAATAATGAAATTATTTATAATATAACCCAGAGTGGAAAAATAATCTGTGAGACAAAAATGAAAGAAAGCGGGAGCGTGAAACAGAAACCAGATTAATCTTTTGTGATATGACTTGCCACACATATGTCTCCATTTTATATAAAGTACACTGTAAAATATGTATTATGTCATTATTATGTGCCGTCAAGTCAATTCTGACTCAAAGCGACCCTAGAAACCCTGTGTGGGTTTCTGAGGAGTGACTGGTGGATTTTAATCACTGACTTTGTAGGTTAGCAGTGCTTATCCTACAGCACTACACCAGGACTCCACAAAATTTGTATGTACATATAAAAAAGAACACATCTGATAATAATATAACAGAATTTGTAATGATTTGGGAGGAACAAAAATGTTAATTTTTCAGGTATATTAAAAACATTAAGTGACATCAAGATTAAGCTGAAAGTAAATTAGCTTTGTCATAAAATCTAGCTCCTAAAACTTGTTTTTGGAGTATGACAAATTTAATTATCATTTACATAATTTAAAAGATGGAGTTGACAGAAGAATTATCTTAATTCAGTAGCGTTTCAGATTTGGTTCTACTAGCTTTTTTGTTATAGTAACAGGTTTCTGCTTTATATGTAAACATTTAAGTGCTTGGGGAACTATGGTGGTGGTAATGGGCCGTGGAGTCGGTTCTGACTCATAACGACCCGGTACAGGGTTTCCGAGGCTGTAATTCTTTACGCAAGCAGTGTAAGTAAAAAGGTCTTTGATTTCTCTCAAGAGTCTTCCTCTTATTACTATTTTTTGTCTACACATAACTCACTGGTGAGCTTTAATGATTCACACAATGAAGAAATATTTATATATCATGTCTGTAAATTCTGTTTTAATGCTATGCAACCTAATAAGGAGAAATGATTCTTAGAAAAATGATCTAAATACCTTTTCATTGATAGAGCTAAATTTATGATTATTGAGGCTAGATTAGAATCTTGGAATGTTAAAGATGGAAAGTAATCTAGGCAAATTTCTTCCTATAGGTGATAAACTTTGAAGTCCAGAAAGCTTAAATCAACCTTTTATCCATTAATATACATTAATACATAATATGCAATTGTTGTTGTTTAGTGGTGTTGTGTCAGTTCCAACTCATAGGGACCCTATAGAGGGATTCTGAAGAGTGGTTGGTTGATTTGAACCACCAAATAGTAGTCTAGTGCCTATCTACAGCACCACACAAGGACTCTACCTATATAATTTTGTTGTCGTTGTTAAGTGTCATTGAGTCTGTTGGAACTCATAGAGACACTGTTTTGGGTTTCCTAGGAGCGTCTGGTAGGTTTAAAAATGCTGAACTAACTGTTCAAACTGACCTTGTGGTCTAATGCATTATACTATAGCACCACAACTGGACTCCATGTAGGGTATTGTTGCTGTTGTTGTTAAGTGCTTTGGAGTCAGTTCTGACTCATAACGACAATTTATAGGGTTTCCAAGGAGCGGCTGATGAGTTTGAACTACCGACCTTGCGGATCAAACTGACCTTGAGATAGAGTGCTTATCCTACAAATATATAAACTCAAAATTATTGTAATTTTTAATAAAGAATTCAGTATGTTATAAGTGATATATTTCTAATGGCTTTTTTTTGGAACATTTTTTAGTTATTGAAATCTGTTTCATTGAAATTTTAAAATCTTATGCCTACTTTTAATTTTCTTATTTGCTTTTAACTAGGACTTGGAGAAGGACCATATTTGCTGGCAAGTTATGGGCAGAGTGGCCTTCTTCTGGGAGCCAATATGAGCAGTAGAAGTATTTTCTCTTTTCCAAGAAATGGCATTCATGACAATTTATTTTTTCATTTTATGATCACTCCAGGTCTTTTCAAAGAGAAGCCATCATGTAAGTATAATTTACAATTGAAAATAAGAAATTAGCTTTTCATTTGCATTTTTCATATAGTTAATAAAAATTAGTTGGAGGGGTCTAATATCTTCATGGAATTTTCTTGCCCTGAAAGTATATAAAGACAATAATGAGGGTGAAATAAATCGGCAGTGGTCATTTTGAATTAATCATATGGTCTAGTATGCCAGGAATGACAAATTGAAGAAGAATGCAGTAAATTTATCATCAAAAAGAGTATTTCAAAGTTTATTTTGAAATACAGTGCTGTCAATGATAGGTTAACATCCATACTCCTACGGGCAACACCAGTTAATATGACTATCACTCAAATTTACATAGCAACCATTAATGCCAAAGATGACAATATTGAAGAATATTACCAACTTCCACAGTCTGAAATTGATCAAACATTCAGTCAAGATGCATTGATAATTATTGGTGATTGAAATGCAAAAGTTGAAAACAAAGAAGAATCAATAGTTGGTAAATAAGGCCTTAGTGATAGAAACACTGGCGAGCACATGATGGAACTTTACAAGACCACCAACTTATTTATTGTAAATATCTGGTTGAATAACATAAACAGTGACTAAGAAGGGATTTCAAAAGTTTGTGAAAAAATTAAAAGATAAAACTGAAACATATAAATTTTTTTCTCAATATAAGCGCCATCAAGGTGAAGACAATTTTGTAAGCAGTACCAATGATTTAGTCTATTCCTAATGAACCAAAGGGCCTGGAATTTTAACCATGTCAATGCAATCTTTTTAAAAATATTAACTAAAGAGAAATGGGTACCCTTTCAGCATTTTTTAAAATTAGGAGTTAAAAGGAAGTTATAAGGATCCAAACCAGAAATGTAAGATGGATGCCTAATGATTTTGCATTGAAATTATTGCAAAATTGCCCTTGTTTGATGAGAAGAATGAGGAGGAACATTGTCATGGTGAGGAAGGACTCTGGAGAAGCTTTCCCAGGTGTTTTTCTGCTAAAGCTTTGGCTAACTTTTTCAAACACTCTCATAATATGCAGATGTTATCATTATTTGGCACCCCAGAAAGTCAACACACAAACTACCTTATTTGTAAATGCTGTTGAGTCATTTCTGACTCATAGTGACCTTTTTTAGCTGGTGAGTTTGAACTGACAACTTTGTGGTTCAAATCGACCTGCAGTCCAGTGCTTATACTGTGTGCCACACCAGGACGCCTATTGTTGTTGTTGTTGAGTGCCATCGAGTCTGTTCCAACCCATGGTGACCCTGTACAGGGTTTCCAAGGCTGTAAATCTTTACGGGAGCAGAGAGCCTCATCTTTCTCCTGAGCAACAGCTGGTAGTTTCAAACTGCTGACCTTGCAGTTCGCAGCCTGATTCATAGCCACTATGCTATTTTTTAAGACTTCTTACTGTGGATTGATGATCCACACAGTAGATCTTCAATCTTCAGTTCAACAAAACATACACTTCTTTTCTTCTCAGTGATGGTAATTTCCTCAATGTCACATCTCCACTTCCTGTGTTTCTTGTTTCCATTCCTCCTTTCCCAACAATTTTTAACTTTGTTCTTGAGTAAATACTGACGTTTTGATTTCATGGTTGACCACATATGTAGTACTTGTTGTTGTTGTTTGGTGCCATTGAGTCGGTACTGACCCATAGCGACCTTATGCACAGCAGAATGAAACACTGCCTGATCCTGGGCCAACCTCACTACTGTTGCCACACTTGAATCCATCGATGCTGCCACTTGGCCACTCCATCTCACTAGGGGTCTTCCTTTTTTTCTTACCCTCCACCTTACCAAACATGATGTCCTTCTCCAGCGAGTGGTCCCTCCTGACATTATGTCCAAAGTATGAGAGACGAAGTTTGGCCATCTTGGTCTCCAAGGAGCACTCTGGCTGCACTTCTTTCAACACAGATCTATTAGTTCTTTTGGCAGCTCATGGCACTTTCAGTATTCTCCTCCAGCACCATAAATCAAAAGCATCAATTCTTCTATGGTCTTTCTTATTCACTGTCCAGCTTTCATAAGCATATGAGGTTATTGAAAATACCATGGCTTGGGTCAGTCTCATCTTAGTCCTCAAGCTGATATCTTTGCTCTTCAACACTTTAAAAAGGTCTTGTGCAGTAGATTTGCCCAATGCAATACGTCATTTGATTTCTTGACTGCTGCTTCCATGAGTGTTGACAGTTGATCCAAGAAGAACGAAGTCCTTGACAACTTCAATGCTTTCTCCATTGATAAGAATGTTGTTTATTGTCCAGTGGTGAGGATTTTTGTTTTATATACATTGAGATGCAATCCATACTGAAGGCTGTGCTCTTTGATCTTCATCAGTAAATATTTTAAGTCCTCTTCACTTTCAGCAAGCAAGGTTGTATCATCTGCATATTGCAGGTTGTTAATGAGTCTTCTTCCAATCCTGATGCCACATTTTGCTTCATAGAACCCAACTTCTCAGATTATTTGCTCAGCATACAGGTTGAATAAGTATGGTGAAAGAATACAATCTTGTCACACACCTTTCTTACTTTTAAAACATTCAGTGTTACCACGTTCTGTTCAAACAACTGCCTCTTGGTCCATGTACAGATTCCTCATGAGTACAATTAAGTGTTCCGGAATACTCATACTTCTCAATGTTGTCCATAGCTTGTCATAATCCACACAATCAAAAGCCTTTGCATAATCAATAAAGCACAGGTAAACATCTTTCTGATATTCTTTGATTTCAGCCAAGATCCACCCGACATCAGCAATGATATCCCTCATTCCACGGCCTCTTCTGAATCCAGCTTGGACCTCTGGAAGTTCTCTGTCACTGTATGCTTTCAGCTCTTTCTGTATAACCTAGAGTATATCCCACCTGAATTTACAGACCATCTCAAGAACAGATTTAACACATTCAATGCTAATGATCAGATGAATTATGGGATGACATCAAGGGATCAAACTTAAATTATGTGAAGAACTGAAGAAAATATTCAAACTGTGAGTTTTAACATTGAAGGATTATTTGGGCAAAAATGAATGACACAGGAAACATAAAAAAAAGATGAAATTAATACACAATCACTGTAACAAAAATAATTGATTGACCCTCAATTATTTCAGGAGGTTTGTTGTTGTGTTATGTGCCATGGAGTCGGTTCTGACTTATAGTGACCCTGTACAGGGTTTCTGAGGCTGTAAATATTCACAGGAGCAGAAAGCCTCATCTTTCTCCTGCGAAACAGCTGGTAGTTTCAAACTGTTGACCGTGAGATTAGCAGCTCGATTCAAAACAACTACAGTCCACACTGTGCTGAAGGAATTGGTGGAAAAAAAGAACAACAAAACTTCAAGAATTCATGAAGTATCAATTAAGATGTTTCAACAGATGCAATGTTGGAAGTACACATCTTTGCCAAAAATTTGGAAGATAATGATCTGACTAACCATATGAAAGAGATCCATATTTGTGTCCATTCAAAAAAAAGATTCAACAGAATACAGAATTTATTGAACAATATTATTAATATCATGCATGGCCAAAGACCAGATGAGTTGTGGGATGATATTAAGGGATCAGACTTAAATTACATGAAAGAATTGAAGAAAATATTCAAACTGTGAGTTGTAATGTTGAAGGATTATGTGGACAAAAATTGAATGACACAGAAAACATAAAAAAAACAATGTAAAGAATATACAATACACAAGTAAGATTTTTCTGAAAATAATTTAAAAATGATTGCACTGATAAGGAACTGCTAGAAATTCAAGTGTGAGTCAGAAGAGGAAGTGGAATGAGGAATAATCACTGCTGATATCAGATGGATCTTGGGTGAAAGCAGAGAACACAAGAAATAACTGTGGGTTTTTTATTATTATGCATAGACATTCAACTGATAGAATCATAAAAATTATGATAACATTGGAAATTCAGAACACTTAATTTTGCTCATGCAGAAGCTGTACACAGACCAAGAGGCAGTCGTGAGAATAGGACAATGGGGATAATGTGTGCTTTAAAATCAGGGAAAGTGTGTGCCAGGGTTGTATCCTTTCACTATACTTATTCAGTCTGTACTGAGCAAATCACCCAAGAAGCTGAACTATAGGAAGAATGTGGCATCAGGATTGTAGAAAGACGCATTCACAACTTGTAATGAGCAAATGAAACAATTTTGCTTGCTAGCTTGTTTGATTGAGTTCTTGGTCCTAACAAAGCAAAGCTTAAACTTTTATGGTGTTAATACCAGAAATTAATTAGAAATTTTTTGAAAAATAACCTACTGAACAATAAGTAATATCTGCAAGACTTAAAAGCCAAATTAAAGTAAAAAGAAACAAATTGTGTTGGAGTATCTAAGAAGTTAGCTATTAAGAGCATAAATTAGAGTTTAGACAGTCACTGAGGTGATTTGTTTTATTATATGACCTTGTTTGGCCTAGTTCTCTGATTGTCTTAGGGGCTTAGATCCTGGGCCTTCAGTTAGTTGTATGTGTTGTGTCCACTTGGCATTTGTTTCCATTGGTTAGTGTCTCCTTTGGATCCATTTATGCTCAGACTACATTGTTGACATATCACCCCGATCTAAAACAGTGTTTACATGTTGTATAAGCTTAGTAAATATTTATTGAATGAATGAATCCAGTTTAGAGTTCAGATTCTGAATAATACTCTGATTCTCAGTTAAAATAAGTTCTTTCTTATTAATCTATGAAAAACATTTATCATAATTTGAGTTCTAATTTATATGCTATGTACATCATTTATTGTTTTCTCTCATCAAAATTCGTTTGCTCTTTTTTTGGATCACTCAGTGTTCAGCAGAGAAACTTGCCAATTTTAGAATATAGTAAATGCCATGGAATGAGACATTGAATTTTAGAGGGCTCTTGATTTTATGACTTAGAATAATTAGTGTTTTTACCAGGAAAGACCTAATGGTGTTTAATTAAAATAACAAAGAAAATTTAAACTTCAATTTAAGAATTTTCCTGATATAGATTTTACAGATATAAGGAGAACTTTCAAAGAACAGATCCAAGAAGGCTGACCCTTCTCCAAATCTTTGTAAAACCTAATTATTAATTAACCATTTGATCATTTATTGTGCAATAGTAATTTTGAGTAGATTGTTCTGAATGCAGCAAAATCACTTGCAAGAACATTTGTGTATTGAGAACTCAGTGATATTAAAATGTAGTTGCACATCTAAACTGATATTTTTCTATATTGTCTTCTCTATCAGTTAAACTATTTGCTAATTTTATACATTTAAAAATCTTAAAGCTTATAAATACAAATGTGTATTCAATTATTCATTCAGTTTCTTGTGTGATTTGTACATTCTGGGGCCATACTTTGATACTTTTATTCCCCAGGGACATAAGAGATTATTGAAAAAATAAAACACACCAATACTATGTTTCGCTGCATTTAAAATATTACTTTTTCTTTTAACCATCTAATAATTGAGCTTTGAAATTTTATTGTTAGCATTAACTGTGTTTGGTTTATGAGGTACAGTTTTGTTGACTTTATGACTATAGTTTTGAATGTCAGTGCCCATGATCTGTCTTATCCTGGGAGCCCCAAGCTGTTGTCACTCCTATTGCTTGTGTTTTACAGCATTGGCAGTTGTTTCCTTGGAATCTGCTGAAAGACCAAACTACTTCCTCTATGTTCATGACAATGACAGTCTTAGTTTAAAGCTGTGGGAGGCGAATTCCGCCTTTCATCGGAGAGCCACATTTTTCCACCATCAGGGTCTCTGGATTCCTGGCTACAGTACATTTGAATTATACAGCAAGAAAGGCTTTTTCATCGCATTCACAGATTCTGGTGTCAAAGCATCAAAATTTGATGACTCTGAAGAATTTAAACATTCAAGTAGTTTCAGCATAGAAGGTAAGTTTTTCAAGATCTCCAAAGCAAACAAACAGCCACCTCCAACAAATAAAGAATTTACATAATGGCAAAATCTTTAGCAAATTTTAGTATTTAAATCCATTCTCCCAAAAGAACACTTTTTTTTTTCTTTGAAATAGAAAATTCTCCTTTTGTGATGTGGTGCTGTGGGTTCATGCACTGGACTGAAAAGTGGATTTTAAAGGCAAGTCGGAAGTTCAGGCTCACCTGCCGCTCCTTGGAAACCCTATACAGAGCTACCATGGGTTGGAACCTTGTTATTGTTGCTATGTGCTGTGGAATCTGTTATGACTCATAGCGAGGGTTTCCGAGGCTGTAAACCTTTACGGAGGCAGACAGCTAGCTGGTAGTCTAGAACTGCTGACTGTGAGATTAGCAGTCCAATTCGTAACCACTATGCTCCCAGAGCTTCGGGTTTAAACCTACTCTACGGCAATTAATAACAACAATTGGAAAGACCCATTAATAATTTAATTTTACTACTAATCATTATTTTTTGAGCACCTACAGTGTCCTTGTTACATTCTATCAGTAGCTCTGAAAAGTGCTGTATATACGAATCACCTGGAGTCTTTTATGAATGCAGACTCTCAGCCTTTCCACTAAAGATTCTCATTTAATCTGTATGGCAGCTCTAATCCTCATAAATACTGTAACATGCAAATAATGTCAATTCCTCCTTTCACACATGAGGAAATAGGCTCTGATTGCTTCTGCTGTTGTTAGTTGGGATTCACAGCGACCCTGTATAGGGTTTCTGCGTAAGTGGCTGGTGGGTGTAAAACAATACTTTGTGGTTAGCAGTCTAGTTCTTATCCTACAGCACTGCACCGGGTCTCCAATTGCTTATAACGGTCCTAAATAATAATATTGTTGTTGTTTAGTGCCGTGGAGTCGATTCTGACTCATAGTGGCCCTGCACAGGGTTTCTGAGGCTGTAAATCTTTTCCAGAGCAGAACGTCTCATCTTTCTTCCAGGGAACTGCTGGTAGTTTCGAACTGCTGACCTTGAGATTGGCAACCTAACTCGTAACCATTATGCTACTTGTTATTATTACCTCAATGGGATTTATTTCAGTACTTTCTTGACTTCGGAAACAGAATGTACTCATATATTCTGGTTTTCTAGTATTTGTATGTATTTTTTTATTCCTAGGAAATAATTTCTGAATTACATGATTTCTAATTATAAGGATAACATGTTTGTTGCTGTCTTTTTTTCCCACTGATTTCTGGAAGATATTTTTAATTCAGCAGAAGGTTTCTCTTATTTCTAGAGCGCCTAGGAGGTCTTTAGCTACCGAATTTGCAGAATTTCAGAAAGTAATCCCCACTGTTTTATCCAATGGTTAAAAGTCATGTTTTATTTCCTAAACATAGGAATTTGATACCGGTCTTGACTTTCCCAAGTGAAGTCTTCCATCCTAACCAGCTTTCTTAAAGCAGTCTAAGAGAGCTAATCATTTGCCTTTTCCATTGGAAATATATTTCTGTAATTCTTGCTAGTCTTTAGATTTTAGAAAATCAAGTTGAACTTCAAATATTTGTCTATTGACTAGATTCTTAAGATCTTAAGGAAGAGTCACTGACATGTTCTATACATTATTCTATGGAGGGGATGTGATATTTTTACTTATACTTGATCTTTGCTTACAGTATTTTTCTTACAGTTGAACTTCACAAGACTCTTTCCCCTTTATTCTAGAAATTTGTTCCATTAGAACTAGATGGCATCATCAAATTGGTATCAGTGGGCTTCCTGAATTTAGGAAAAACTAGTGGTCTATCCTAAGTGTTGTACATTCCTCCCCATACTTTGGAATTAGAGTCACTATCTAAAGTGGTGTGGGAGAACAGAATATTAACAAAGTTTCCAGGAGTGAACACTTCACCAAAGGAGGTTTTATCATTGTAAATAGTTTTTGTTTAAATTCATTAATTTATTTTTATGTCATTGGATAAATCCTATCATACTTAATGGAATGTGCTAAATTCTATTATAAAAACAAAGACTGTTCTTTCTTTAATTGAAATCAGGAAATATGTATTTGGTCTCATCTTATTTGTAATGGTTTGAACTTGGCAAGTTACTTGACTGTTTTGAGCCTCAATCTGTTCATTTATGAAATGGGATTATAGCAAATATATTTAATAGTCAGTCTGGCATCAAATGCTTTGGTCAACAAGCAATTAAAACCTTTTTTTCCCCATAGTCATACTCAAAAAAGGGAAAGCCCTAGGACATTTCATATCGTAAATCACTCTTTTTCAATGTATGTATTGCCGCTGTATTTGATCTAAACTTAATTATTTTCCCCAGAAATTCAGGCAGCTGTTCCTTACAGGAGGATGTGTGAATGGAGATACGAACCCTGTGCCACTCCCTGTTTTAAAACGTGTAGTGACCCTGAAGCACTAGCATGCACATTTCTTCCACCGTAAGTAATGTTTATCATTAGATGAGAAAACCCAGAATTAGTAGATACTCTTTTTAGATTTAAAACAACCACTCTCAAGAAAAAATTATGCATGCTATATGGTGGTGGTTGTGTACCACTGAGTTGAGTCAGGATAGCTGTACCACCAGGGCTCCTTCAAAGAATCATAGTTGTGGGCAAACCATGTAGGGCCTTGTACCATAATGTGAGGACTTGCTTCTACTGTGAGTAAGACAGGAAATCCCTGGTGTTTGGGGGGCAGAGGAGCAGTATGGTCTGATTGATGTTTTAAAAGGGTCCTTCAGCCAGATTGAGAGTGTACTCTTGGGGAATGGAAGGACAAGGACAGATATGGTCAATAAAGTGGATAAAAGATAAAGGTTTGACTAAATTGTTATTGGTGAGAAGTGAACAGATTCTGAATATATTTCAAGCAATGTCATAGTACATAGATTTAATGAGAGAAAAAGAAGATAAAGTCTCAAACATTTGACCTCAGCAATTATTGTTGTTAAGTGCATAGGGTTTCTGAGGAGTGGCTGGAGGGTTTGAACAACTGACCTTGAGGTTAGCAGTCCAATGCTTATCCTACAGCATCATACCACGACTCGGTTAGGAGGCTAAACAGTGGAAAATGCACTTGGGCAAAGAAGAACTAGAGAATGAGAACTAAGGAGATAGAAGGAATGGCTCAGGCCCTGTGGAGGAAGTTGAGCTATGTTTTAAAGTGGCATTTGGCTAGTTTATTACTTGTAAGGCTTCACCAATCTCTGAAGTGGTTGAACAGAAATACTCAATGGCTGCATCGTACTATTGGTGTTTTGTACCATGGAGTCAGTTCTGACTCATAGCAACACTATGGACAGAGTAGAACTGCTCCAAAGGGTTTCTTAGGCTGTCATTTTTCAGAGTCCTAATTTGGTGCTGAGTCCTGGTATGGTGCTGTGGGTTAATGTGCTGGACTGCAAGGTCAGTTTGAACCACAATGTTGATAGTTCAAGCTCATAGCTGCTCCTGAGAAACACTTTACAGGGTCACTATGAGTCAGAAGTGACTCGAAGGCAATTACCAGCAACAACAGTTTGGTGCTGTAGGATAAGCCCTGGACTACTAACCAAAGGTCAGTGATTGAAACCCCTAGCGACTCCTTGGAAACCTGATACAGGGTAGCTATGAGTTAGAACCAACTAGATGGCACTGAACAACAACTATAGCAATTTTTATGAAAGCAGATGGCCACATCTTTCTCCCACAGAGAAGCTGATGCAAACCTTTCACTTAGCTTCCCAGTGTTTCATCACTGTACCACCAGAGCTCCTTCTTATTGGTCAATAGATATCCTTACATTTCTCTTTCAGCATAGTCAGGATGCTGAGGAGAGAGATACTCAGAATGAAACTTTACTTCTGCCTAGCTGTTTCTCATTTCTACCTTCAGCTCTATCTTCTTTCTACTCCTCTTATGCCCAGGTACCTGACTATTGCTCCTCATCTAACATGCAGTCCTGAGAGGAGAGCCCAAGCACTAAGCTGGACACTTATCCTACCCCGTATCCCTTCCCAAGGAGCCCTGCTGGTGCTATGGGCCAAGCATTGGCCTACTAAAAGAAAGGCTGGAAGTTCAAACCCACTAGCCGCTCTGCTATAGAAAGATGAGACTGTCTGCTCCTGTAAAGATTTGTGGTCTGTACGCAGTTTTACTCTGTCCTATTTATGGTCGCTAAGGAGCTCTGGTAGCATAGTGGTTACAAATTGGGCTGCTAATCTCACAGTTAGTAGTTCAAAACTACCAGCTGTTCCACAGGAGAAACATGAGGCTTTCTACTCCCCTGAGGATTTACAGCCTCAGAAACCCTGTAGAGGGTCACTATGAGTCGGAACCGACTCCACAGCACATAACAACAACAGCAATTTATGGTCGCTATGAAACAGTATTGACTTAATGATTTGTTTGGCTTTGGGTACTCCTCGAAAGAACCACTTGAATTTAAGTGCATTGTGACTCATGGCACATGGCCAGGATTATAGATATAAACATCTAGTGTTTTAACAAAAGAGTCCATGGATGACACAAGAAAGCAACTAACTATTAGCTGATAGATTGGAGTTCTAATTCACCCAGAGGCACCTTGAAAACCAGGTCTGGCAATCTTTTTTTTTTTTTTAAGGTCACAGTGTTGAAAACCCAGTGGAGCAGATCTACTTTGTACGTATGGGGTTGTTATAAGGCGGCACGAATTCAACAACAACTAACAAGTGTTAAAAATATAACAATCGAATGAAAATGAAAAAATTTATAAGGATATTTTTACGTTTACCTTTGTTGCAAATACTACCATGAATATGGTGGAGCACACGGAGCAATGTTATGAACCTTTTAAGATATAAACCATACATCTTTAGTGAATGAATCACTAGATTGAGGGCTTAGGACCATAGTTTCAGGCGACACCATTGTCAATTGGCATAACATCCACAAAGAGAAAGCTCTATATCCTACTTTGGTGAGTTGCAACTTGAGTTTTAAAAGCTCATGAGCGGCCAACTAAAGTTTAGCTATTGGTATCTCCTTATCCAGAGGAATGAAGATTGATGAAAATCAAAGACACATTGAAACAGTTAGTCCAATGGACTAATAGACCACAAAAATATCAGTCGTTGTATACCTGGCTGCCACTACCAACTGCTCTGAAAGTGATCACCTTAGAAGGGCCTAGATAGAGTAGAAGGAAATAGAGAGTAAAACTAAAAAAAATCACAGAAAAAGAGAGCAGGCTTACTGGCTGGATATCAGCTGATTGAACCCTAATATTATGGCCCTTAGTCACCCTTCAGCTCTGGAGCTGAACTCATCCCTGTGACTCAGTTTTCAGGCAAGTTTGTTCCAACAACACTAGTGAGGTATGCGCTCTATAGAATGGATCAAAGAGCAGCATTCACCCAAGGACAAAGTTCAGAAGGGTTGGGAAAGAAGGAGGAGGGTTGGGAAACAAGAAACACAGGAAGCAAGTGAAATGAAGCTAAATGTGTACAATTTTTTTAATGCAAAACTGATTATGTGCTCTGTAAACTTTCACCTAATTCACAAAACAAGATTAAGAAAAAAGGTATCAACTAGTTTGCTATAGAGCACACATGTAAAATTATCCCGGTTACATAATGCATCTATTATAAGAACTGTCTGTCTCTGAGACATTAGATTTATCTGTTAAAAGTTGTGTAGACTAGCCGTGGTGGTGGTTGTATGCTATTGAGTCAATTCTCTGACTCATGGTAACCCTGTATAGGGTTTCAGAGGCTGTAAATCTTTATGGGAGCAGCAAGCCTCATCTTTCTCCAGAGAATCCACTGGTAGAGTAGAATTACTGACCTTGCAATTAGCAGCCCAGTTTGTAATCCACTACACTGCCCAGGACTCTTTATATTGGCAGCTGTTGTTGTTGTTGTTGTTAAGTGCCGTTGAGTCGGTTCTAACCCATAGAGTTTCTGAGTAACAGCTGGTGGGTTTGAACTACAGACCTTGTAGCTCAAACTGACCTTGTGGTTCAGGGCATTATACTGTAACACCACACCAGAACTCCATATTAGCAGTGGTGGTGGTGGTTATGTGCGATGGAGTTGGTTCTGACTCATAGCAGCCCTATACAGGGTTTCCGAGGCTGTAAATCTTTATGGGAGCAGAAAGCCTCATCTTTCTCCTGCAGCACAGCTAGTAGTTTTAAACAACTGATCTTAAGGTTTGCAGCCTGATTTATAACCACTGGTATGGCACAAGATAAAGGAACCTGTACATGCAACTATGAAAGGAGGCATTTTAAAAGGAAATTAAGTCAACGTATTTTGGAAAACAATGCAGGAGGGATGGCTCTGGTTTTGATTTGCATTAAAAAAAATTGCAAAATAATTTATTTGCATAAAACTTAATATTGACTGATAACTTACTAGCCCTAGTGTTTTCAACAATTTCAAAACTATAATTTTTCTTTTTAACTCTTCTTGATAAAGTTTCAAGTTGTTATTATTGTTAAGTGCCATCAAGTAAGTTCTGACTCACAGTGATCACGTGTAGGGTTTCTGAGCCTTTAAATCGTCCTTCTATGGAGCAGCAGGCAGGGCCCAAACAGTGAACCTTGTGATTTGCAGGCAGATGCTCTCAAATTTCAAGTAGAAAAGTAATATATTGTAAACTGGTTAAGCTTTTGTTATTCAAATTAATTTTAGTAAGCAACAATTGACCATATAAGTTACACTGTTTATGTTTCTTAAAGACATAATTTTTGAAGGAGGCAACCAAGAGGTGCTAAGTGTGTCTTATGCTAAGAGAAAAGTGAGTCTTTCTTGACTTTTCAAGTGTTGCAGGTAGTTTCTGCCATGATTTAAGTGCCCTCTGGTGGCAACAATTACATTTAGTGTTAAGATAGTTCATTTCCATTTTGAATGAATAAAAAACCTTGATCATTTGTGGTTCAAATTCTTTATGTTATTAATGAGGCAACTAAAAATGTTTTAAATATATTCTAATATTGTTTTTAAGGAGTTCTGGTAGCATAGTGGTTATGAGTTGGGCTGCGAGCCTCAGGGTCAGCAGTTTGAAACACCCAGCTGTTCCATGGGAGAAAGATGAGACTTTCTGTTCCTGTAAAGATTTACAGCCTCAGAAACCCTGTGCAGTGTCACTATGAGTCGAAACTGACTCCACACCACACAACCACCACCACCAATATTGTTTTAACTGGCTAGGGTGTTTGAAAGGCTGGTAAGCATGTCTTTTCATCAGAATATTTGCATTAATTCTCTGTAATATGTATGAATCTAATAATTAGTGTTGGTTTTATATGAAGAAAGGAGCTCTGGTGATGCAGTAGTAAGCACTTGACTGTTTGCCTAAAGGTCATTAGAGGTTTGAACACACCTGGTGCTACACAAGAAAAAGATGCAGTAATCTGCTTCTGTAACAATTCTGTGAATGTTGTTGTTGGTAAGTGTCACGGAGTCAGTTCTGACTCATAGTGACCTTGTATAGGGTTTCTCAGGAGTGACTGGTGGGTTTAAACTGCCGACCTTGTGGTTTGCAGTTCAGTAAGGAGTCCTGGTATGATGCTGTGGGTTAATGCACTGGACTGCAAAGTCAGTTTGGCCATTCAAACTCACCAGCCACTGCTCAGAAACCCTGTACAGGGTCGCTATGGGTTGAAACGGACTCAATGGCACTTAACAACAGCAACAACGACAACAGCAACTTATCCTACAATGCCACACTTGGAAAACCTGTGGGACAGTTTTATTCTATCCTATATGGTTACTGGAGTCCTGGTGTAGCACTGTGGGTTAATGAAAGGCTGGTAAGCATGTATTTGCATCACAATATTTACATCAATTCTCTGTAATATGTAAGAACTTTTAAATACACACAGTGCCACACTTTGAGCCAGACTGCAAAGCCATTTGAACTGCAAGGTCGGCAGTTCAAGCTCACAGCTGCTCCTCAGAAACCCTATACAGGGTCACTATGGGTTAGAACTGACTCTATGGCACTTAACAACAACAATATGGTTACTAAGTCGGAATCTGCTTGATGGCAATGGTTTTCATTCAATATATAAAATGTTGCGTTTACTTCCTTTGAACCAGCCAAAATGGAACTCTAAGCCCCAGTTAGACTAAAAGAAAGAAGTTGTTTCAGTTATTTAATGGCTTCATTTTATTGGAGAAAGGGTATTGAGAATGGTTCCTCCTATCTTTGGCCCACAGTGCTTAAACCCATGGTGTCTTCAAATTCCGCACTCTTGCTTAGCTTGTGTGTTGCATACAGAAACTGCACTTTCTTACCAAGGTCAGCTGACCTGGATCTTGATACCTGGTCTTCTCAGGTTCATATGCAATCTTATTCTTTCAGACAGTCCCCAGATTTGGGTACAGTCTTTGCTGTTCTTGGAGCTGAATCCTCTGTCCCTCACTTTTTCTTATTTTATATCATTGTAGTCATCTCTTACCTCCATGATTTATACCCTGATCCTCTTTTCAATGAGTTTACGATTTTATAACAGGCAGGGAGAACTACTGAAGATGCTTTTTTTGTCCTACATTGTTATGTGCCATAGAGTCAGTTCTGACTCACAGCAACCCTGAATAGGGTTTTCGAGGAGTGACTGGTGGATTTGAACCACTGACCTTGTGGTTGGCAGTCCAGTGCTTATTCTGTAGCACTACAACATGAATCTGATAAATATCCTTACAACAAGATATTTAGAGAACCTACCTATCTTTTTGCAAGTGGGGGGATATAAGAGTGGAAAAAAAAGCAGAACAAATATAGATAAAAATCCAGTACATTGTTCTTCAGCATCTTCACTAATTTTTTTTAAATGCCCTTATTATACCCCAAGCATATGTTTTGAATGTTCTGTGTTTAACTCTGCCTTGTTTTTGTTGTTGTTGTTAAGTGCCGTCAATTCTGACCCATAGTGACCCTGTATAGGGTTTCCAAGGAGCAGCTGGTGAGCTTGAACCATCGACCTTGAAGTTCAAACACCTTTGCAGTCTGATGCATTAGCTCACAGCGCCACACCAAAACTCCTAACTCTGCCTTAGCATGAATAATAGGATTTTATCATCAACTAGCTTGTTACTTTTAAGAGGAGTTATGGTGGAGTGGTAGCAAATGGAACACTCAGTGCTTGACAAGGGAGATAAATTAATTTCAGTAAGAATAAAACTAAAGTCACATACATTAAATGTAGGATTGGGGTTTTTCTTTAAAAATTTTTCACTTTGAGTTTTTTCCTTTGTTTTTTCTCCAACAAAGAGTTGAAGGATGCTTGCCTTACTGTCCTAAGAATATGATCCTTGATGAAGTCACCCTGAAATGTGTTTATCCAGGAGACTGTAAGTGTCAATCTCTCTTCCTCTGTACTGAAAAGTGAAGCAAGAGACAGTGAGTACAATTTATAGGTAGACAATCTACTTTCTTAAAAAAGTTTTTACTGTGAATTGAGTGGTAGTTTACATAGGAGAACATCGGTTTTACACTCGTAGTTTCATTGCAATAATTACAATCTCCTCCATGCATCATCATTCAATAGTATTTGCTTCTATTCCCTCTGTTTTTTTGTTTTGTTTTGTTTTGTTTTGTTTTTGGGGGGGATGTAAACAAAAACACTCAGGAATATATAATAATTTAAACAACCAAAGGGCACATTCTGTAAGCTTGGAGTAGTCACAAGTATACAATCTTTCTCTTTCCATGAGTTTAGAGTCCTCAACTGCTCTATCTCTCCATGTTGTCATCTTTGCCTCCTCTCTGGTATTGCTTCTCTGAATAGGGTCCCACATTCCTCTTATGCCCTTCTCCCTATATGGTCCTAGGGTCCTCTGTTCCTGGAATGTAAGATTAACTACTCCCCCCTTTATTACACATGTCCAACCTTTACAGTTGTGATAGTCGCAATTAGTCATAATAATCGTTATTCATTATTGAATCATAAGAATCTTATCCCCATCTATTTCACCAGACCCATCTAGACAAGATTAAAAACTATTCAGTGGGGCCTCTACCTTCCCCCGCACATTCTGAAACTAAACTCCTCTTGAAAACTTATAAGCCAGTCACTTTGTACCTTTATACCCTCCCATTTAAGTAGCCAATGTTTAAGTTGCCCATCCCTATCAACCCTGTATACAGAGGGGATAGGATTGATAATTAATATGAAGACCCCTTCCCTCTCAGTTGGTAGTTTGAACTACTACATCCATAAGTACAGGTCAAGTTCATCAAATTGTAGCAATTTACACTTGTTTCCTTTATCAGAATTTTTTTATCTTCCTCTAGTCAAGTTCTGATCATCAAGCCATTGAAGCTAGGTCAAATGGGTACTATCTGAAACTTTGGGTATTCTTGTGCATCTCCCCTCACTTCATATCAGCTGGACACTTCACTATCAGCTCTAGCCCTCCATGCCTATATCCTCGTCCATGGGCTCAGGAGTCCCCAGATAGACAATATACTTTTACAATGTCTTCTTCACTATCCCTTCCATAGCTATTTCTTCCAAACTACTGTCTAAATCATTTAAATCTAGCCACTAGCATCCCTCCTGCTTTCTCTCTCCTAAAGCACTTCTCTTTAATCCAAAGTTCCCCATATCAACTATATAGATTTCCCTTTAAGCAAATACAGACTAAGGAAAAGAACTTTTATTTCTTTATAGGCATATCTCCCACAGAGCCAGCATTAATGACTCCTACTGCTCTACCATCAGGTAAGCCATCTCTTGTTGTTGTTGTTAAGTGCCATCTAGTCGGTTCCAACACATAGCGACCCTGTACAGGGTTTCTGAGGCTGTACATCTTTATGGGAGCAGAAAGCCTCATCTTTCTCCTGCAGAGCCTCTGGTAGTTTCAAACTTCTCACCCTGTGGTTTGCAGCCCAATTCGTAACCACTACGCTACCAGAGTGAAGCACTTGAATATAATGTTTCTATGATGGCAAGAGACAATGAGAACAATTTATAGGTAGACAATCTACACTCTTAAAAAAGTTTTTATTGTGAATTGAGTGGTAGTTTACATAGGAGAACATCGGTTTTACACTCATAGTTTCATTGCAATAATTACAACCTGCTCCAAGTATCATCATTCAATAGTATTTGCTTCTATTGCCTCTGGGTTTTTTTGGGGGGGAGGATGTAAACAAAAACACTCAGGAATATATAATAATTTAAACAACCAAAGGGCACATTCTGTAAGCTTGGAGTAGTCACAAGCATACAGTCTTTCTCTTTCCATGAGTTTAGAGTCCTCAACTGCTCTATCTCTCCATGTTGTCATCTCTGCCTCCTCTCTGGTATTGCTTCTCTGAATAGGGTCCCACATTCCTCTTATGCCCTTCTCCCTATA